GCTCTCTGCTCCCAGGTTCACCAAGCCTAACTGAATAGTTCAGGTTCGCCATAGCATTTAGCGTCACTCCGACAGAACGCCTGCTGGCCTGCCTCACAACCCACCGCGCAGGCGTCGACTCCGCCGCGCTCATCCTCGCCGTTGGCGCAGACATGCGTGGTGTCCACGGCCGTGTAAACGCTGTTGTACACCTCCTGGCACTGAGCGTGGCGCGTGATGCCGATCCGGGCCCACCGCATCAGGACCTCGGCAGGCCCAACTGGAATGAGTGTGACGAGGCTGCTAAGGTCAGACGCGTTGGCAGTGTATGATACCACCTCAAGGAGAATCAAGTGACAGCATTCACCTAACACCGTTTTGACCCAGTGCATGCTTGGGTGACCTTAGAATAGCATGCACTAAATAGTCTGCTCATGTTCGCAGGCGTCCAGCCCCAAAACCACATAATTTTTGCATCAAAAAGGACACTGCTGTAAAGTGCAGTGAATGATGTTTGTAATCGCTGTCTCATTTCAAAACCACATACAACTGTGGGACACTCACTGCGGTATAAAAAAGCAAGCGTATTTGCACAATCCACTTTTCGGGAGTGAGGTTTTTCGATTCTCTGATATAACACGCTACTGGTTGGTTGTACAGACTTGTATATATATATATATATATATATATATAGATATATAGATATATAGATATATAGATATGTATATATATATATATATGTATATATATAGATATATAGATAGATATAGATATAGATATAGATATAGATATAGATATAGATAGATATAGATAGAGATGATAGATAGATAGATGATATATTATATATATATATATATAATTATATATTCTATATATATATATATATATATGATCACTATCGAACGAATCTATACAATCTTGTAATGAAATCTATGCATAACTATCATTATATTACTGATTATTATATAATATGCAATCCCAATGAAATGAGTCCCTCGTCTGTGTTCAGTACCGAGCACTTGCAAATTAAGAAAGGTTTTATTTCAAAGGAGGTGTGCCACATTTTAATTGAGGTAAGCATCATACTGAGAAACAAGCTCACTCGAACAGTTTATTGTAAGTGGAAAAGATGCACTAGACAGTGCAATTTTCTGTTCATTTAACATGCTCCCCAATGCGTCATGGTTTGGTTGCGTCATCGTATCTTGCACATCATTAATTGAGAGTCAGATTACGACCAGTTTATCTGGAAATCATGCTCACAAACGAGAGATGTTAGCTCGACAAACATATTTTTAAAAACGTTGATCACTGCATGTCTTACGGAACAGCAAGGTTTGAATGACGTTATTATGACGTCATGGATGCCAAGGTGACGGAGACACTCTTCCTGAAATGATCTCCTCATTTTCGCGGGCGCGTAACTCATAAACTAGAGCGGCTTAGGTCTTAAGATTGACACGATTGGATATAGTATTGAAAGGTCTTATAAATGGCTATTGCAGGTCAAAACATCATATCAATGTGGAAAACTTCCCTTGAGTCACTTGCGGTAAAAAAGCGTGACTTCCGCGATGTAAGAGTGGCGGACGCGGACACGGACGTGTAGGAGACCACGCATAGTTTTGCAACCGACTTAATCGATATCGCTGACAGCCCATCTAAACTTAGCAAATCACACCATCAAAGTAATCCTACCCAAATAAATCAAACTATCAAAATGTGTCATACTTGAGAGGCGCTATAGTGGTTTTGGCCGCGGGGCACATTCGCGTCATGGGCGTGCAGGGTCGGCGTGTGACTGGACCGAAGTGCTTACTAGATAAAAGTTATATCTGTCGGGGAGCAAGCTACTCCTATGCTTCTATGTATGCTGTGAATGTATATAGATATGCTCCTATGTATACTCCTATGTATGCTGCTTTGGGAGGGAGCAATCTGTACCTGTAAAATATATTCCATTGAAAGACTCGCTTCGAAATTCACTGCATGGCTTTCTTGATAAAGAATTCCTCACTTTACGTGCGCCATTGCCGCTCCTACGATTATGCCAGACTCCCCTCCTGTTTGGAGAGGACTGAGTGAAAGAGCGAAATGGGCATTACGAACAGCGTGTCGATTCGACAAAGCGTAAGCGCAGACATGCGCTTTTTGTTAACTGAATGGGCGAAAGGGAAGAACTTGCGTTGTACGCTGTAGCTCGAGACGCTTACGCCTCTATTACGTTGCAGATTGGACTTGTTCCGCACTTGCAGTTATCTTTGAGAAAGAAAACCCAAAATTTTCGGCAACTGGGGGAGATCACGGAAGCTATATTTTTTCGGGATGGTGGTTATCGCTATTGCGAATCCCAAAGTGCAAAAAACAAAGCGGCAAAACGTGCACTTGCGCTCTTTTTCCTTTGCACGGCAGCTTTATTGACTTTACGGAGGTAACGATACGGCTCGGCTCAAAATCCCGTCCTGGTGGCAGCAAATGCTGCCATCCTAAGGCTAATGAAGTAGCAATATTCCAGCGACATTTTTACGGCGTTATGCATGCCTGTGAGACCTTCCAATAGTATGCACAAAATTGTATGCACAAGTTCACGGGCGTCAAAGTCACATCAGAGGTTAATTTTCAGTCTTAAAAAGGACAAGACTGTGACGTTCACAGAATGATCACGACGAAAAGCCGCTCTCAGCATACCAACGCTGACGTCGTCCGCTCCGCATGCACGGGATTAGCCCATTCGCTGAAGTGTCGCCGATAGCTCCAGGAGTGCAGCCGGGGGTAGGGGGGAGTGTCGTCGCACCCGCGCGGAGGGCGCCGCGAGAGCGTCTCCCCGGCGTGGGACGCGGCCGGGCGCTTGCCACGCCGGGGCCCACAGATCCGGAGAAATGGCTTAGTTTCCTGGCCCATTTTGGATCTCATTCCGCCGCGTTGGTAGTCTTTGGCTCGGGCGTCTTGGAAGATACTAGGAAACGACGAATGCCTCTTTATGCTTTAGACCTTGACTTTCTTTTTAGCGTCCGGTAGTATGAACAGCATGCGCGATGTAATGCGGTCTCGATTGTATTGTGGTGAAGTGGGAACTCCCGTGTGGCCTCCCTATGCTGGCGTCCAGTCTGGGTCAATGCACACCTTGTTGCACAACTCCATGGCAGCTCTGATGTCATCATCTTGCAGCGTGGATTAGGACGGGCTACTTAGCTTTACCCTGTGCAGTGGTATGCGGAGATCGACGATCGGATCACAAACCGACAGCGAAGCGTCCCATTTGTCGGTCGCAAATCCTGCTTCATCAAGTGAGCTCCAATCGGCATGTAGAAGGCCGAGGCATGGGGTATCCCGGTTGAGGCGTCGTGCGGTCCGGACCTACACTTCTGACAGCTCTAATCGAGTCCTAACGGCAGTGACTGACCCTGCGATCAGAGCGCGGTCCCTGATGCTGCGGGCCTGCACTCACCCATCGGATAGCAGGTCCGGTTTGCTGGTAATGACGTGATTCATCAGGGTTAGGTTAGATCCAGTGTGAGTCGAAGAGGTAATGAGCCGACTCACAGGTCTCTGATCAGCTGGATACAGAGTACCACCCCAGGTTTATCGGAACGTCACATATCGAAGATGATGTCACCAAGGATACATCTGGGCTGTCTCTTGACATGATGAATGTCAGTTGATCCCGCACATCATCGATGACTGGGGCTGTTGCTCGACCAGGGCGGTTGACCACACTGACGAGGAAAAACCTTCGGCCGTTCAGCTGGAGCCAGAGCCCCCAGTCAAGATCTTGTAGGTGGCACGGGCAGGGATTCCACTGACAGCGTATTACGGTGTGAGATAGTGACACACTCGCAAGGTCTTCCCGTCTTTCGGTCTCTCCCGCATGAGACGCATCACGGGAACAGGAGCATGCGGTCGCCGATGACCTCAGTGAGCCACGCTTCTCAGAGGTACGGTATGTCCATTCGCTCAGCGGCAAGGAGGTGATTCACCTCATCCTGATGTTTGAAGAAAGACCTCACGCTCAGTTGACCGATTTGCAGCGTGGTTGTGGGTGCAGAATTATGCAGCGCCTTTGCTTGCCTGGATGCGTCTGCGTCATTGCAGGCAATTTCAAGCGGTTACTTTGCTCGCAAAAATTGTTTGAGACCAAAAAGGCGGATGAAAAAATTTCAGCTTGAATGCTTGTGCATATTGTTCTGAACACTGCATGTCTTAAAGATTTCGTACCGAAAAAAGTTAAGATCGACTTCAGCATGTCAACGACTTCATTTCACTAGCAATCTGCTACATGGACGTGCGGCATGTTTCTGAAGAGGGGTGTAATCTTTTATTCAGTTGTTGGCTTCACCCCGTCCCCAAGCTTGGGTTTCAGTCCTCTGATACACAATGTATGTAGAAAGTGAGCCAAACCCATGGAGAAACCCGTCTATTAGGGTATTTTGGGGGTAGACTGAGTAATTTGTTCACAGCTTGGCGCGCCTCAACTTATTTTGTGACAGTGCGCCCAAAATACTGAGTATATTGAGAATGTCAACTAAACCGTTAGATTACATGTCCTGATCGTATTATGGAATCTGTGACTAATAAAAGCATGCTTCTCGTCCAGTTCCGGGCTGTCGAGGTTATCGAGGTCCGACATTTGCAACGCTATTGCTCATGGCCTCCACTGATACTTAAATCTCAACAAGCTAAGGTAGGTTTAGATATCGGCCGTCATTTTTTGCATTGCTAGTGTGACAGCTTTCCCATCGAATTCCGCGCTGCGGCATGTAGAATATGCGAAGAACAGTGGCCTTTCTCTGCCTGGGCGTTGTACTGTGCACTTGCACCAGAGGGAATTCGAACTGGGCATATAAAGCTCTACTTTCACGCCGCGCATTTTTCTCCGATTGATAACGGAACCGGTGACCCATCACTCTATGCCGTGTGACCCATCACTCTATTCCGTGGGACCCTTTACTCTATGCCGTGGGACCCATCACTCTCAGTGTAGGGAAGGATAGAAATCTATGTCTGAGGAGGGTCTGAAGCCCCCAACAACGAACGGAGGGAAAGAAGCTTGACGGTTTTCAATCTATAGGAATAAGTTACTCATTCTTCTCCGAGCCAATCAGAGAATATGCTTGGCATTCGCGTTACTGAATGTGATAAACACAAGTTTATGTGTTGAAGTGCCTGACCAACATTCATGGGGCCCACAAGTTTAATTTGCAAGATTATCCGTGGCAGGATAATCGAACCGGAGACCTATGACATCGCTCGACCCCGGCATCTAGCGGCCGTCTCCGCGCCCCGCTGCGGGGGGGGGGGGGGGCACCGCTCACCGAACTCTGTCACGCCCCAGCCGGCGACGTAGGCTGCCTGGCCGTCCAGGTCGGAGACGGGGCGGGGGAACTCGGAGATGCACAGCGGCTTCATCACGGCTGTAAGCGGAGAGCTCGATTGCAAAAAGCTATCGATGCTCAATGATGCAGACCCCAGCCATCGGTCATACTGTTAGCAGGCGTTTGAATTCAAACCAGGGTCAGCACACACGGAGACAAACGACGAATAAGAACGCATCTTAAGCAGACAGTACAGAAAAATGACGACTAAGAGCGCATCTGGAATTTTCTGTGCCCTCTTTAGAGTACACAAACATGGCGACTAAGAACGCATCTTAAACAGAGGGTACAGAAACACTGTGGCTTGAAATCCATGAAAATAAGTTGCCTATTCGAATCAGAACCAATCAGAGGACATGCTTGACAAACACTGCTGAATGTGACTAGTTCACGTTCAGGTGTGGAAGTTCTTGGGCAACATTCATGTGGAGTGTAAAGTGACTTTACAAGGAGCCTTGTATGTGCTAATGTGACAATGTTCACCAATTGAAAAGCACAGTAGTTACACTGGTTGGTTTCGTTACACTTCGCGAGTTTACCATTCTTTACTTACCAGTCTGAAATCAGGGAAGCCACAACGTTAACCGTGGTGAAGCACTAACTCCAAACGCCGATTTTTGGTAAGATACTGTACACTTATAACAAACACATTTGCGTCAACACCGCGATGGCTGATGAGAATCCCTATAGGCCAACCATAAAAGACAAGGTGGCGAGGAGAGAAGTGGGGGGGAGGCGTCAAGGGGGGGGGCGTCAAAGGGGGGGGGGGGGGCGTCAAGGCTCGATGCCGACGGCTAACAGATAGAATCAGATTACAGATTACATTGGGGCGGTTATGCTTACGTAGCATGATAGGGTAAATAAGTGAATAAAAGGGTGCATAAATGAATGCTACCGCTGGAAGACTAGGTAGTAGGATCGCAATGTAAGTCGTTCAAGAAAAACGTGTCCATTGTCGTAAAATAGACTGTCGTTAGTTGCAAGAGGCAAAAGAAGAGGTTGACGGCGTTCACTCTGACCCAGGTGCGGTCGTCATAGCCTCGGGATACGATTAGTTGTTTTATGCGCGCAATAACAGTCAGCTGTTTGCGAGGCCTTACGGGATATTGAGATGCGCTCCGTGAGCTTGATGAGAGCAATGTCGTTGAAAAGGCCGTTTCTATTTCCTCTGACGATCCGCTTGTATTCCGGATGTTTTACAGCTTTCTCCACATTGTACACTCTGGGCGGGTGCTGAAAACTGTCATCTGTGCTGGTGGCGAGGTTCAAGTCGCCCAGAAGTACCTTCACTCTGCAACGTAACACGGAATCTGGTTACCGCGTAATCATTTACGCAAGGTCCGATATATGGAGAACGCATATCGACGGGCCGCATTGCACACTCACCGCTATTCGGATTCGTATGAGTTGCAGCAGGACATAAACGGAAACGCCGTACGTTGATTTTGCACAAGTCTGTTGATCATTAAGCTCTGGCATGTCAGGAACCTAGCAAGCAATGCCAGCACGGCCAGCTACAGAAGATTTTCCGCCACCAGTTCAGCGCATTGGCGAAAATGAAACCACGTGGCGTTATTTACAGAGCACTCCTATTGTCCACGCGGCGTGCATAGAGGCTGGCCCAGGTTGGGGCTGAGCCAGCCTCAAGTCTCGGCCCAAAGTGACGTGTGAAGTGGCTTGGAGAGAACTGGCACGTAAGGTAAGCCGCTCTCAAGGTGTTGTTTTTTCTCGAGAAAGGGAATGGCGAAGTTACCGCATGACGACAGCGTATGACGTGTGTGAAATGTTACGTATCAAGCTCGAATGGGGCTCTCCGCAATACCTAGCACTAGTCAGCCGAGTTCGCAGTCAAACAGAGACGCCGCAAAATGGGTCCAGATTCCGAAACAAAGCCCCCGGATCGTCACATCGATGCAGAGCAGTTTGCTCGAAAGTAGATAAATGACCCCAATAGCACTCTCCTGCTAGTTGCTGGAAACTTGTTGGCTGGCCGATAGGCGTTAGAAAATAAGTGTTTGAGGCACGACATTTGGGCGCTCACCATCATCAGGTGAGTAGAGAGAGGGAATAAAAAGAGGAAAAGAAGGCGACACACCTGTGCCACCTCTGCCACTGCTGGCGCAGGACTGGTGCTTCCAAACTTCCCGTCAATTTCAAGCCAGTGCCGCCATTTGTCGTTGGCACGATGGCTGAATGGAATTCCGATGGATGGTGGTACACAGCTTAAAGGCGCCAAGCAGGGTGGGTCAGCTGTCAATGACTGTGTTTAACTTCAGATAGTGCTCCTTCGTAAGGAGATCTTCGAACATGTCCCTGTCAGCGCACTTCTCACACCTGCGTAGAGTCCTGGTAGGCAGATGGTTGGTGAGATTCCACTGTTGTTTCTCCGTCGTGACACTTAATTAGTCAGTCATGTCATGAGGATCATGGGACAACTGTGACCTGAAAAGCTCCTGAATTTTGAGAACGCTTTCTTGTTGCGCTGCTCGCTCGGATGGCGCTCTGGTGGGTCGCAAACGTAAACGGCAGCCGGACAGACGGTGCCGTCATTATTTCAATTTACAGTTTGTGCTGTGGTCGCCATCGCTTTGAGCTGTTATGAACATATCAGAAATGGAATGACTTTGTGTTTGGACACTGCAGAGCATTATCGTCGCATCACCACTCACATCACCACCACCATTCAACTGCGCACCAGATATCGACACTCAGTGCAGTCTTCACCACTAGATGGTCATGTCGGCGTCAAACTAGAGGGAAGTTTGGAACCACAAGTCCAGCGCCGGCGATCACAAACGTATGACAGGTGTGTCAGCTCCTATTTTTCTTTTTCCCCCTTTCTACCCACGTGATCATATGGGGGTAGAAAGGAACGAATGCCGAGAATACTCACCGCCTTCCCCAACCTAGCGAACGCTAAGAATTCACATCTTCCAACTCTCGTTCTAATATTCTGCTGCCAGCTTTCAGCTCTCGAACACTCGTAAACACCTGCATAACCTTGTCGGCGTTCACGAGGCAGGCTGTAACTAGCAAGCTATGACCAGCAAGCTATAACCAGCAAGCTATGAACAGCGGGCTATGACCAGCAAGCTATGAACAGCGGGCTATGACCAGCAAGCTATGACCAGCAGGCTATGGCCAGCGAGAGCTAGGAATACAACTCGGAATTCAGCATATAATTTGGGAAATTCGGGAGAATTTGACGCGTGTCATAACTAACATAACAACGATCGTTTGTGGCGTCCAACTCACGGGCCGGCGCTGTTGATGCATTGCGCGGCTGTGAGTATCCAGCGGTCGTTGATGATGGCGCCTCCGCACCGGCTGATCGGCCCAGACGAGTATTGCAGCAGCGCCATCCACGGGAAGTCGGTCACGCTGTCCACCGGAAGGCCGTTGGCGATGCGCCCGGAGAGGAAGGTCGACAGACCGCAGTCACGCGGCGAGACGAAGCGTCGACACTTCGCTTCGGCACTGGCAGATTGTTCGGCGCAGCACTGAGAACGGGGAGAGGGAGGGAGCGATCGGATGTAGTCGCACTTTCGTGCGTGACAGACAAGAAAGACATGATGACCAACGGTCCATCGCGACGTGTACCAGCCATAGCGACAGGACAACTTCCCCGACTGTGCGGTTGGTGGTTAAGCAGCTGTATATGCTAAATGGGCTCACCCGTGGATGTGTGCTAGAGCATGGCCAACCCGCACACACGTTCTATCATATGACGTCTACAAAGAGGCCCAGCTCAGCTCTGTGCACAATCGAGCACTCATAGCATGTGTACTCATCATGACCAAAGTGGCTCCACGTTTGGCGCGCGATGCGGATACCTGTGGTGGGATTAGTCGCCTCACTCGCCCATGTGGGTAATGCCTTCAGATGGAGAGGGGGCTATCTGCAGCTTCGAACAAGATACTTGTTACTTTAACCGGCTAGTTCGTGCATGCTTAACCGGTCGGGAGGGGTGGGGTCGGTGGGGGGGGGGGGGGGGGGCGGTGTGGCCAAATCATGTTAGAGTTGAGAAAGGTAACCGTCCAGGCGGCGCCGAGAAGTGGGCGTTGGCAGCAAGGTGATGTTGCCACATACACTGAGCAAAACAGTATTTGATGTAGTAGGTAAAAAATGGTTAGTGTTAGTACTGACATGAAGTGTTTGGGCACTACCAAGATACTGAGATCTCACTTCTGTCATTTGAGTATTGTTGCGCGAATGTGTTCTCTGTATAGAGCATTTCTCTGGACCGTTCGACCGATTATGTGATCCAGCTCACACTCAGAGCTTACATGCATATGCATGCATAGCTGACGCTAATTGAGGTGTGTACTACGTTGAATGAAAATCTTAATATGATCCATCGTCTGGGGGAAAAGGCTTGAAAGCGATAGGAAACGCTGATCTAATTCTTGCTTTCTATGAAAATATGCGCGGTACAAACATCGCAGCACACATGTTTGTCGGGCACTAGCAACAAAAGAGATGACGTGATTCATCCAGAGGACGTATGGGTGGCTGGGAGTTGAACGCAGCTCTCGGGCACGAAAGCTGGGGTCGTGGATACCTTCACTAGCCCGCCAGCAAACCAAATGACCTGGTTTGTTTAAAAAAAGACGGAACAAAAGGAAGCCTTACCACCCGTGTCGTTGATCCCTTCGTCCCGCACACGGACTGCTGCTGAAGAGCGATGCTCCTGTTCCGGAGTGAGGCGCACTGGTTCAAAAGGCTGCACACTCCTGGATTACCCGCCGAATCCACGCATGGCGCGCCCTTGTCATCGTCACCGACGAGGGCTGAAATGGGCGGGTGTGAGGTCAGGCAGTGTGCCTGTAACTCTATGACAACAATAGCAGTCACGGGCTAGAAGGAGAGAGAGTGAGAGAGAGAAAGAGAGAGAGAGAGAGAGAGAGAGAGAGAGAGAGAGAGAGAGAGAGAGAGAGAGAGAGAGAGAGAGAGAGAGAGAGAAGAGAGAGAGAGAGAGAGAGAGAGAGAGAGAGAGAGAGAGAGGAGAGAGAGAGAGAGAGAGAGAGAGAGAGAGAGAGAGAGAGAGAGAGAGAGAGAGAGAGAGAGAGAGTAGAGAGAGAGAGAGAGAGAGAGAGAGAGAGAGAGAGAGAGAGAGAGAGAGAGAGAGAGAGAGAGAGAGAGAGAGAGAGAGAGAATCATCAGATATGAGCATGTGAACTGACTTGTAACTGCATGCTTTTAAGTGCAAAATACTGTCTAGACAACACAACTTCACTATTTAGTAAATATGCTCCTAAATGCATCAACGTTTGATCATGCATCATCATCAAACAGTGATGCATTGCATCATGGAACGTACGTATGACGTCAGAGTGACTGCCAAAATGGCTGTGCGAACTAACCACTGTAGCAAATGCGTAGACGCACATGGACCCTTTCAACTTGTTGAGAGGTGCCGCACTAATCGATGTGTTGTTTGCGAAACCCACAGATCGTTATGTGTGCGTGTTTTGGCAATCTCTCGTGGTGTTTCGCACATTCGTCCGTAATCTTATAATTTCTTTCACATACTTGCTTACGACGCTATTCTTAAGCTATTCGATTTCCATTCTTATTCCCGTCATAGCTGGTATCACTGCTCAACTTCCTGTAGCACAAAACGTTATTCGTTTTCGAAACTTGCGCTGAAAGCACTACATTGGTTGAGGCCGAACTGTAGTCCGTTGATGCCAAAAATTGTGCTGCCCTACGCCAGTAACGGATACCCCGATGATCACATATCGACCTTGAGCACGTCTTGACCTTGAGCCCTTAATGTCAAATGAGGGGCATTACTTGCAGGACGTTTGTCTGGCGTCATGCAGGCCTGCCTGACCTTGAAAAGGTGGGCAAACCAGAGGGTCTTGGGTCTTTAAAAAGGCCTGCAACGCAACGCAGCCATGTTGCAAAAGACCAATTGCTGCAATGGAAAAATTAAAGCCATCAGAGCAAATTTTACTCCAAAATAATGATGTTTGGTCATCTGCTGCAAAAAGCGAATCTTGTATGTTACGTAGTTTGCATGGTATGAATCACCTACCTGTAAGTCATAGCTAGCGTGTGTTAGTTTGCACTAACTAGTGAAAACAACGAAAATTTAACAACAAATTCAACATTCCATCCAAAGTCCGCTGTGACGCAGTAAGGTAAGGGAGTCCACTTTTTGGCTTTAAGAGGTCCATTTGACGGGTTCGTGCCAGCCGCCACCCATTGGCCACACACAACCACTAGGGCATTCATGACGTATATTTTAATGCAGTAGACTTGTAACTAGCATTTATGGTTTCTGCACGGGGATTTTTTGTGTGTTCAGATTTCTTGTGCTTAGCTCTGGACCCTCATCATTGCAGGAGGTACTGATTAAACGACTTATAGAGCAAAAGAGTTATGCTGACAGTGGTCGACGTTTCAAGCTGTACATAGACTCACGTAAGCACAAGTTTGAACAATCCGTCTATCACGGCCGACAGGACGAAATGTTACGTTCATGCAACTCTTCATCACCAATAGTTGTCAAAAACAAACAAAAACGCACTGAGTTAAAACAGACTCATGAATATACTCTGAGGTGACAATGAACACCCCTATATCTGCTTCAGGTAGGGCTGCATGATTTTATATTTGTTGGCATGTGATCTGAAATAATCCGCTTTCTGTAAAAATTGGCATTTGGCATGACCTTCTTCGGATCAGCTATTGCCCAAGCGGCGCCAAACATACAACCACCCCAAACCAAAACCAAAACAAATACCAAATCCAAAAAAAGCTGATGTTTTGTTGAGGCTCTGTTATTCTTAGTTGGCGTATATATGGCAATGTGTAAAAAATACAATGTTGGAAATATTCAAGGTCTTTAGCACCTTTCGATTTTTCGTTTCGTGAAATCACTCTTTATCACTCTATGATATTATCACTCTTATCACTCTATGGACAATATCACATTGTCACAACGACAATGTGATATTTTAAATCTGCATAGTAAATTGTTATAAAATGTGGCAAGGCGAATGTGGTAGCTGAACTCTGCATGCTAAATTGTGACGGTAAATCGAGGCTGCGGCCAACAAAACAGAAAAATAGGTCATTCTAGTCATACAAATTCCTAGAAGCCTTGAAGTCAGTCAGGAATCGAACCCACACTTCCAATGCGGAGCCCGGACACGCATCCGACTGAGCAATGTCACCTTCTACATACCCGTAAAAAGCAGGAATTAAGAAAAGGTATATTCGAACTTTTTGGTCGCGGGTCTTTTTATCGCTCCGCCTGAATAATGGCAACGAGAACCCACAGCGCCTTTTTGGCCACCAGAGGATCATCCTCTAGCTCCCAATCCCTCTAAATTTCAAATATATTCCGAAACCATCTGCCCACAAACGACGCAATGTAGCATCCGGCATGCGAGGCGTCAACTTACTTTGCCTCGACGACGTCGCAGCTAGGCCAACGGCAATAAGAAAAAAAGGCACCATCGCGCCCCCGCCGCCGCCGGGCTTCTGGGCTGCACTGCGCCGAGCTGGACAGCCGCGGCTCGGCTCACTTGACAACCGTCAGCCCGCTCCGGCGGCGGCCGCCGTCGGGCTCGGCCCGCGCCCGGACGCCTGGCCACCGGCGGTTTGGGAAAGTCCAGACACCACATATGGCGGCTGGCTGGCGATCAGCGGAGGCTGACGATGTTCGGATTCGGATCATGTTCGATGTTCGGATCAGCGGAGGCTGACGATGTTCGGATACTGTTGCACGTCTGAGGCGCCGCGTGAGCTGACCGTGATGTCCGATGCACTACAAATGGACACCCACATTGACTCTAGATTTGTTGTCTTGACATAGCAATACTCGTGGATAAACCTGACCTGGGCTGATTGTTCACTCGCACACAAGTCAGGTGGGAGAGAGGGCGTCCGCATTTGGAGCACGTTTCAAAACCATGATCTGGTTAGCCTAAGGCCTGTCAATAATACTCATAGCACAGTGAGTGCAACAGCTTCACCAACAATGTGTTACGAGCTAATCAAACTGGCTTATTTTCTATTTCAAATCATGCATAACAGCACTTTTAGTAACTCCAGATGCCATTCAGTGCATGGGCGGCACTGGTGCACGCAAGACGGCGTTCAATTCTTTCCGAGGCCGAAGCATCCTTCGAAAAGACACTGTGCTGAACGCCGTATGGACGAAATCAAATCCATAGTGCAACGTTTCGCTGAATCAGCGTGATGATGTCCCCATATCTGCATACAATTTCTCTAAAAAGAGCGCTTTAAGCTGGAGTAACATTCAATGCGCAGACATTTTGGCCGATTGATTTGCTGAGACTTGATGAGGGCCTTACATGACCCATATGTTCGGAAAAAGTCAAACAAGTGAAAAATACGACTTTCGTAGTAGTGAACATGAAGTCCAATGAAATTTATCCTGTCGGACATGCCTTTTCAGATAAAGATTTTAAGCTATTCAGAAGGGTTTCTAGAAAACATGTGTTACCGACCATATCGGAGCGGCTGATCTACGACCTAAAAGTGAAAAGTGCAACCAGACTGAGTACTTCCTTAGAGTGAGATAACAACTATATGTCCACACGACGAGCAAGCGATTTCGGTACAATAGAAGAAAGCAATTAGCATGGTTGCAGCGGTGAAGGAGCATACTAATCTGCTTAGCGAAGAACTCAAAGGCGAAGGAAACCACACTGCTTGCAAGTGTCAGGTGCAGTCAAACAAAATCCCCAATCTGCATGGCCTTCTGGAAGTTGGGAAAGTCAGATGCTGCGGGAACCCGTGCCAGCTGCATGCATCTAGAAACCGCAGGTGCACAGCACGCTGCAAGCCCTGTGCAGATGTTGCGGGACTCGAGACTCGAATAGCTACTCAAATAGCTACTCAAGGCCTTCACGGGTAAGATTCGTTTGCCAAGTCCAGCCGTTACCCTACCTGCCCGCCCCCTCCGCCACCCATTCTTGGTCAGTCATATTAAACGCTTGTTTATATTTTCGCAACAGGTTAGTTCTAGGTTATGGAAAAGCTTCAGTAACGTTTACACGCAAGCTGGCTCTGTTGCGTTGATGCCTTTAATAGGCCCATTTACCCGATTTATCCTAGGGTCGTAAACCCATCGATTTACCCGACCAGTGAAGTCCTACAGTGTCTCGTAATTTACCCAACCAGCGAAGTCGTACAGTGGCCCGTGTTTACGCAACCAGTGAAATCCTACAGTGTACCTTGATTTTCCCCCAAAATATACCTAACATTGCATGTTACTCATTCCAAATAGATACCCGTGGATTTACCCAGCCGCCTTTTTAATCTGGAGGGTTTCCTCTGAAAATTAATTGTCTAGTTCCTCCACCAAAGTCCAGCGCCGGTTTGCGGTGCTCTGAAATGCTAATCCGTTCCGTATTTGGATACACTAGTGACGGTGGAAGGGAGGAACAACCGCACAACGTTAGAAACGGAGCTCTTTGTCAAGCTCACCAACTCTGAAATAATTCTGCACCACAAATCTGCGCATCCAACTACCACTAAGCACAACATAAGAAGTATGTGCCATAGGGTACATAGGTAACTTGTGACATGTTCCATTTCGCAACATATTGTAACATGCTCCAACAACTCATCAAGTGGTGGAAAGGAAAGAAAGAACATAAACAAACATGGGCTTAACTGTTGGGCAATGGATATTCTCCGCGACTTTTCGGTAAAATGTTGGAAGAAATAAACAAAAATCTAGAGCGCGTTGGGAGATGGATGGGAGAGGGCGGGATAACGTCCTGTTGGACGATGGATTCTTAACTCT